ACTAATTTGCCCCCTTCCTTCAAATGAATCTACATAGCTAAAGAAAGCAATTGCTTCACCAATTGAGAACAAATGTGTCTTGCTGGCTGTGTCCATAAAAGGGACATTTTCAATCTTATGAGCACAGACTTGTAAACCACAGATTTACAAAATTCTTGAGATTTTGAAATGGGTGGGGAAAGGAGTAGGGGAGTTGCAAAAAAAAAAAAAAAAAAGACCTAATTAATAACAATGACTGGTCAGAAAAGATAATCTTATAACCTCTTTCAAGGACAGAATGAAATGATAAGGATTTAAATTTTTAAGATAAATCTAAATAATGAAAAGATAGGATAGCCACAAATGCTTATTAATTACTTATTCATCACAAATGACCAAAACAGAATTAGGAGTTGTTGTTTATGAAATAAGGGATTTTAAATGACTTGAGCATTTCTAAAAACAAATTCTAACCAATTAATTCTGGATGTGGGCAAAGATTTAGCTATAGGAATATTCATTGAAATTGTTTACACTAGCAAGATTTTGAAAATAATTAAAATACTCCATTAAGATTGGTAAATGCAGTTCTATCAATATGATACATATTTAATATGCAGACACTAAAAATCATATTTTGGGGGACATATGTATACCTATGGCTGATTCATGTTGATGTATGGCAGAAACCTACACAATATTGTAAAGCAATTATCCTCCAATTAAAAATTTTACAAAGTTTTTACAAAATCATGTTTTGGAAGACTAGCTATAGAGAAATATGTTTCCAACAAATCATTAAGTGCAAATCCCATCTTCAAACTGAACGTGCACTATGACTACTTGTTGCAAATTTTTTGGAAATAAAATATTCATTATGTACACATGTTGTTGTTGTTATTTAGTTGCTAAGTCGTGTCTGATTCTTTGCGACTCCACAGACTACATTATGCCAGGCTTCCCTGTCCTTCACTACCTCCTGGAGTTTGCTCAAACTCACGTCTGTTGAATTGATGACACCATCTAACCATTTTATCCTCTGTTGCCACCTTCTCCTCCTGCCCTCAATCTTTCCCAGCATCAAGGTCCCTTTCAATGAGTCAGCTCTTCATATCAGGTGGTCAAAGTATTGGAGCTTCAGCTTCAGCATCAGTTCTTCCCAATGAATATTGAGGGTTGATTGCCTTCAGGATTGATAGGTTGATCTCCTTGCAATCTAAGGGGCTCTCAAGAGTCTTCTCCAACTCCACAAATCGAAAGCATCAGCCCTTCAGTGCTACATATGTGTATCAATAAATGTACACACATTCAAGATATATATAAATAGACACAGAACACACTTAGAAAAAAATACTGGCCATTTATATACAGCAAATTAACATTTCATCATTATAAGTTCTTATTTCTTTTTTTCCTGATTTATCTAAATTTTTCAAATGAATACTTGTCACTTTCATAAGGAAAAGAGAATTTGACATTTGATATGTATAAAAGTTCATTGGGTAGCATATATATGGAAGATACCAACTTTAGAATCTTGAAGCCATATGGGTCAAAAGCACAGATATGTTCAAAGGCTTAAGTTAATCGAAATAAATTTATGGTTAGTAACACCATAAAAAGAAATGTTCGTAGAAAGTTTCAAAAGTGTTTGAAGTTGCTATCATAGATGCAGCTATACACTCTCACAAAAGCTTGTGAATAATGCAGAAGGGGAGAAGGGGAACTGAGACCAGAAAGGAAGATAGAAATTGCTGCCATTGTCAAGGACTAGAAAAAAGACTGAATAGATCCAATAGGACACTTCTAATGTTCTCAAGTTTCCAGTCACCTTATTAACTCCCTTATCTGATACTGATTATGCACAAAGCTGTGTAACAGTTAAACACCTGAAACAGCATTTGACATATCCTAAGGCATTCCATTTTTCTACTTATTGGTACCAAACAACCCTAGAGATAGGCAGGTAGCCCTTTTTTTAAAAAAATATTTATTTATTTGGCTGCACAGTACTCTTAGTTGTGGCATGCAGGATCTTCGGTTGCGGCCTGTGGGATCTAGTTCTCTGACCAGGGATTGAATTTGGGCCCCCTGCATTAGGAGTACAGAGTCTTAGCCACTGGACCACCAGGAAGTCCTCGACCTTATGTTTCTATTTTCTTTCTTACTGCAGCAATCTACACCTCTTATGCTTATCTTTATCACTTTACTTAAAACATACTCTGGTTACCAGTGACCTTTCTTTGCATAAACATTGTGGTTTAAAAAAGTTTTCAATTTATCTGGACATCTCTCTGAAAACAGAAGTAATCACAGGGGCATGATTGTCCCAATTCACCTTCTACCCTTTCAATTCTTTCCTTTCAGTTAGAAGTTGGGGTTCTAATCCTTCCTCTGCCACTAAGATCTGTATGATTTGGGGCAAGTCACTTTATCCTAGTTGGGCACAACTGATATGTGTGAAAGCACTGTGTAGATTGCAAAGCATTTAAAAATATGATTATTGGGAATTAGCTGGTTGTCCAGTAGTTAGGACTTCATGCTTCCGCTGTAGGAGGCACAGGTTTGATCCCTGGTCAGGGAACTAAGGTCCCACTCATGGCATGGCCAAAACAAAAATTATTGAACTAGGTGATCTCAGAAATTTTATTCAAGGTCTCATATAAATTATGAAAATATGAAAGTGATAAGTCACTTAGTGGTGTCTGACTCTTCGTGACTGCATGGATGGTAGCCCACGAGGTTCCTCTGTCCATGCAATTCTCCAGGCAAGAATACTGGAGTGGGTTGCCATTCCCTTCCCCAGGGATCATCCCAACCCACGGATTGAACCTGGGTCTCCTGTATTGTATGCAAATTTTTTACTGTCTGAGCCACCAGGGAAGCCCACTTTACACTGTATTTTTGGTGAATTCAGTTGACCCAGGAATTAGGAATAATATTTTGGCACACTGTAGAAGACTTCCTCCATTACACTAAAACTGCTGCTGATTCAAAACAACAGAATGATTTATTTGGAACTAAAATAGCACCCAAACAGGTAATCCTTCAATTACTGAGGCTGAAAGTTACTACAAACAACACTTCATTTTAGAAGGCTGAATTTGTAGGCAATACCTAGAACTTCCATTTCTACATTAAAAAACCCCAACTTTTTCCCTTCTTAACCTAATAAATTTAAATCTTAAGATTTTCAACTTAAATCACATCTGAAAAGGCTATAACCACTGGCAATATTTTAGTACATTTTGCTGGATAGTGTCAATGTTGGAATAGTGATTACACCAGGAAGGAAACAAGTGAGGAGACACACCAAATATACACATAAAATAACAGACTCTCCAGTTGAAAGGGCTTCTAAAAGTTATTTAGACTAGAGAGTCCCAGAGTACAGCATTTCAAAAGCTTATAAAAGTTTTAAAAGGGGGGTGGGGTGAGGCAGACATAAAGTGTGAACATTTAGTTTTGCCAAACAAGGATATTAACAAAACAACCATCTACCATCAGGACCATTTTATAAAAGGGCACTTTAACAACACATACATAAGAAGATAAAATCTCAGCAGCATAACTTGAAATAAATGAAAAAATGCATTATCCTGCTCTTTTCTAGGTATCTCATGGAAAACTTTGTTTGACTTGCCCCTGTCCACACAGACCTCTGGGAATCCCTAATCTAGTCTACCTCATGCATATCCTTATTCCCCAACCCCCAGCTGAGCATTTGTGTCCTCACTACTGGGGAAAAAAAAAAATCTCTTTAAATGTATACCCCACCCCTTATATAGGGAACTCTTCAAGCTGAGGAACCCATTAGATTTTGGATGGCTGTGGTAAAAAAAAAAAAATCAGCAGAATAATAGCTATCTTTGGAAACTTGAAAAATTCAAGATGCTTAAACTTGACTTAAAAACAAACACCGAAATCCTGACAGCAGAGGATTTTAAGTAGGCCAGACACACTTGGAATCACCAAAGGAAGCTGTCCAACAGTGCTGATTTGGGAGTCAGGTGGCTTGGGTTTTGTTAGTGCGAAAACTTCACGTTAAATCTTACTCTTTTCTCTGTTATCAAATTGAAGACATTTAGGTCAGAGCTTTATGAATACAAATATTTAAGCCAGAAATAAGGTACCATGTAGGAATTCCACTTATCTTCCAGGATGAACCCCATTACTACTTGATCAGCTATCGAGGCTGCAATTAAGTCTACATTTTTGTCAGTTTTTACAAAATTATCTTATTTGGGATAACATAGGGATAAGGCCCTATGTTTCTGGGTCAAGACTGCAGTTTTCAACAAGACCAAGATACGATTTTTCAACGTTTCTTTGTCGGGGTGGGGCCTGGGGGATTGCGAAGAGAACAACCTTTGTATTTGCAAGTTTTTTCACGGCTCTAAACCTTATTTTCTATTGACTATACACTGGCCACTAACATTACTCGGATCCCCCCCCTCCCCCTTTGTGTATCAAGTATCAGTGGGTAAACACAAAGACTTAGAGGGGCAGGGTTAATTCCTGCTTTCCCGCTTTTCCTTTCTGTTAAAATAGGGAATCCAACACTCCCTAAAGCGCAGAATTCTAGTAAGACTCCTCAGCTAGACTGCTAAAACACCGAGCCCTGAACTAATCCAGCCCGTACAGGCCTGCTTTTCTCTTTCTTTCCACCAGAGGCGACAGCCTCTTTCACAAGAGATACTGAACTGGAATGGGCCGGCTGGGGGAGTAGCCCCGGTAAAGATCAAAAGGTTAAAAACCGCCTCAAACAAAGAGCAAAGGCCAATACCCAACTCTTAAGGCCTGACGCACCATCTTCCAAGAAAAATGAAGGTGACTCCTCCCTAATACGCTCTCTAGGCCTGGGGCCGCGAGGCCTTTCAGAAACCAGGCGGGTCTGAGGTGACTAACAGGTAGTTCACAGTGCAACAGTCGACGACCGGAAGTGGAAATGCGCTCGGGGCGGGGATGAGAAGAGGCCACGGCACGCTTGCGCAGTCAGCAGGGTTGCAGCACGCGTGCGCAATTGGGCGGTGACGGAGTGACGTTCAGAGCGTGGGCCGCGACTCTCACGGATCCGGTTCCGCCCTCCCTCTTGCTGTCGACCCTCCGGGGCTAGCGCTCGCGATCCCTTTCCCACAGTGCTCTGCGCTGTGAAGAAGCGGCTCCCGGGGACTGGGGGCATTTTGTGTTGGTTGGAGCCGGAGCAACAAGATGGCGGCGACGGCGGAGTGACAGGGGTCCCTCCGGGCGGGAGCCGGCGGCAGTGGTGGCAGCGGTATCGCCGCCCTACCTTCACCGCTCTCCTTTTCCAGCCCGCGACGTCGCTGGGAAAGCGAGGCAGCGGCGGCCGCCAGAAACTAGTGGCTCAGCCTGGTAACCGCGAGAACTCCTTCAACAATCTGCGGCCCGGCCAATAAACCTGACAGCAGCGGTGATCAGGTTCCCCTTGCCCGATTCTTGGCCCTGTAACGCCGAAGAAGAGCCATCGTTTTCTGTCTCCTGCCGCTCTCCACAGCCTTGTTCCGTGGTCGAGCCCTAGAGGCCTCCATCCTCCCTTTAGAGGTGTCGGGGCTTAGCCCCAGCCTCCATCTTCGTCTCTCAGGATGGCGAGCAGCAGCGGCTCCAAGGCCGAATTCATTGTCGGAGGGAAATATAAACTGGTACGGAAGATCGGGTCTGGCTCCTTCGGGGACATTTATTTGGCGATCAACATCACCAACGGCGAGGTAACCACCTGGGGTGGGGTTCACGACTACGCTGCGCCTTTCCTCACTCCCCCGCCCCGCGAACTGCTTGGGCCTTTTCCCACCGCACTCACGCACTGGGAAGTCCAGAGGGAGCCAGTTTTCCTGTCTTAGGAACCTCCCCCGCTCTCTTTCCCTAAAAGGAAAGAACCCGAGAGAAAGGTTGGGTGTACTAGGAAGTTCCCTAGCTTGTTAAAAATACACCTTAATCGAACTTTCAAAAAAACCGTTGTTTAAGGTGAGAATGGAAAAATCCTATTTCTGGGATCCCCTCGTTTTCTTCCTATATTTTTAGTTTACTGGGGTTCTTTTTCCCATTAGGCCAGCTACCGGTCGCCTGGTTCCCTCATAACCCTCATTACGTTTTCTGGATGAATCATTTTCTTATACTTTAGAGGACGTGCCGCTTTCGTCACTGCCCCCTGAAGAGGGCTTTGAGGCTGGTTGCCTCGTTTTATAATTACAGAGATCTTTCTCTTCCCAGCCTCTCACCACCTTCAAGCCGAGAGTTGGAGATGTGCTCCTGTTTCCCCCTCTTTTCCCAAGTGACATTGAATCCATAAGGATGTTGATGCCATCATCCCCTCTTTCCCCTGCAGGAGGTGGCAGTGAAGCTAGAATCCCAGAAGGCCAGGCATCCCCAGTTGCTGTACGAGAGCAAACTCTATAAGATTCTTCAAGGTGGGGTTGGCATCCCCCACATACGGTAAGAGTCCTTGAGCAAACAGGCGATCTTCTGAGGGAAGTACGGAATGGGAGAAAATGTGTAAGAGGCAGGCAGTGGGACCAGCTGAATCCTGCTCTTGGCATTTGAGTTACCTGGGTTTCCTCTGAAGCGTAAGTCACCACAATCACGGTAAATTTTAGTTTGCCAACTTAGTTTAGGATTTCAGTTTGTTAACACTCTGCTCCGTTTAGCTTCCGTCATTCTTCGCGAGGCTTTCATTTGCAGTGGAAAGTATGCGGGTCATCTTTGATCCCAACGCGGAAGGGTTGCCTGCTGCTTTCTTTCACCTCAGCTGTTCCTTAGGTTTGTCCAGCGAAGTGGATTTGAGGGTGCCGAAGTGACCGGGCTGGGCCAGTTCGGGTTGCTATTGGAGCTGGCTTGGGAAATGGCTGCTCTTTTGTTGTGTTTTTGTTCCAACATGTCTTCCTCCTCCGCTTAGAAAATGGCGGAACGACGTGACTCAACCACATATTCCTGCCCTTTTCACTGCTTGGGTTCATAAGTTATGCTTCCTGGATTCCCTCTTTGGCAGCTCCGAGTTGATTAAACCTTTGAAAAGCCAAGAATAAAGCCGCAGGCAGTGGTGAGGTTCAAGGAAAGAGATGGCATAGTGACAGCCTGTTTGTGATCTCTGCAGTAGATGAGATGTGAAATTAAGTTTACTATGCAAAATCCCTCATAGTCCTTTCCAGGAAGTGTTAATTAACTGTAAAAAATGGTAATGTTTGTTGCATTTCAGTCTGTGTACGAAATTTTGTTTGAAATGACAAAGGCAGTTTGAGCAACACTATGTTGAAATTGACTCAGTTGTATTAAAAGGAAGCTTAATCATGTAACCACAGTTTGACAAGTAACTTTAACCTGTTGAGTTACTTGGTCAGTAACTCCTCACATCTGGGAAATTGTGGCTTTTTTTGGAGGTGGGATATTGGTGAAGGCAAATAGTAACCAGGATAGATGATGACCAGATGAAGACATTGGGTCCTTTTAAATTAATAAAGGATTTTAGAGTAGTTCGACTTTTAAGATTAAAGAATATCTTCCTAGGATAGAGACTAAAACACAGTTTAAGATCCAGCCCTTTTCCAATGATTATTTAATAATAACATTTGCAAAAAGATCCAGATATAGTGGAGAATTAATTGGCATGGTATTTATCATAGCCTCTTTTACTATCCTAGCTTTTATTCCTCAAATCTTGAATTAACTGGGTTATATACATTAATTCTGATGTGAAAACAATGAGAGAAACATTATCCTTAAAAAAATTTTGAGTGGTCATAAACATTTTTAGTGGAGAAATTGAATGATAACAATTTTCTATTGGTTGGTAGTCAGAATAAATTATTAGGAAGAAAATACCAGGTTTATCTTATGAGATAAAGATTAATGTGAAATCTGAGATGATCAGATTTGAGATTTTTAGTGGTTCTCCATTAAAAACACCCTGCTGTGGAAAAATGAAGAACCTTGATTAAAATGCTATCTTTTTTCGTCACAGAATAAAAAAAAAATTGTGTTAGCCTTAGAATTTTAAATTTCTCTCCTTTTGCTTATATTTTCATTTCTCCACCCTGGCTCTTGCTGATTTACTTCCCATTACTAGTTTTTCTTAGAATTAAATGGAAATGCAATCATGCAGTATGAGGTCATTTGTGTCTGGCTTCTCTAACCTAATGCATGTGAAGTTGGGAGGTTTTATAAATTCACAAGTCAGGTTGAATTTAAAGTAAAATCATTTTCACGAAAGCAATAAGTATCTGGCATTTTCAGTGCTAGTTCCAAATTAAGTACTCACAGTTTTATTTGGTAGCTTTTATTTAAGAACAGCACTTACGCAGACCAATGAGGGCAGTAGTTAATATGCTGATTACCCACATAAATAAATGAAATTGACCTGTGAGCAAAATTCTGAGAAGTTGAGAGCAGAGGGAGTTGTGGAGTTACAAACTGGGTGGAGCTAAAGAGATTAACCTGACTTTCAAGCTAAGACTTCTTGGGAGAGGAGATGGGATTTCAGGATCTGACTGACTCTAAGGAAGAAAGCTTGGTGAACTGGTCAGGGAGGCTGTCCAAGAGTGAAGTCTGGCTACTGGGAGTAGTTTCTAAAGTAGAATATAGTTACTGAATGAGGGTGAGGAAAGAGGGAACTTGTTTTAGGAGTGGTATGGTCCAGGTACATAGAAACAAAAAGTGGATCATTGGTTTTAAAGTATGAGAGAACTGTTTGTCCACTGAAGTGGGAAGGATAAGAAAGACTTAGGCATAAGGTTTCTTTTGGGTGGCAGCAACATCTGCTCTGCTTAGTTTGTTCCCCACTATTTCCACATTAACTATATGCATGTGTGTTTGTGTTTAGTTGCTCAGTCATGTCCGACTCTGTCGGCCCCATGGACTCCTCTGTCCGTGGAATTTTCTAGAGAAGAATACTGGAGCGAGTTGCCATTTCCTGCTCTAGGGGATCTTCCTGACTCAGGGATTGAACCCGTCTCTCTTGCATCTCCTGCGTTGGCAGGCGAATTCTTTACCACTACCTGGGAAGCCCAATAAATACACTCAATAAATATTTACTTGGGAAATACGAAATTAAATTGTTTGCTTAGCTAAATTAAATAAGGCAGTCTGTTCCCCATTGTATTAGAAATTTGACATCAAAATTTTTAGACTTCACTAATATCTTCCTCCTCCCCCAATCAACCCTCACCCTGAAAATTGTCTTAAGATTCTGTGGGATATTCTAAAACAAAGGCTGAAAATTACCAGGCCTATATGTTATAGCCTATCTGCTGTATCAAGTCCTTAGTTTGTAAGGACCTTATTAAGGGATCTGTTGTGCAGAAACACAGCATCAGGTGAGTAAAAAGAGCAAGAGGGGGAGGATGGTATTCAGTCTCTAGATATTTTTAAGAAACTAAAAGCCTTTGGGTCTTGTGAATTGACCTCTGGGAGCTCATTTTAAGTTACTGTGTTTCTGTTACAACCCTCCTTTTTTTGTGTTACTTTGAACTGAATGCAATTGTTCTCTAAATCTGCCATATGGTATTGACTGAGTGATCTGGGGTCAGTCAGTCCCTTAATCTTTATGGGCATGTCAATTTCCTCTTTTTTGAAATAAGAGGATTTTACCAAGTTGATAATTTTCTAATTTTGTTGGGGTAGAAGCGTACTGGACAGAAAAGTTTAGAATTTCCTACTCTTCTGTTGGAAAAAGTTTTGCACACTGAGCTTTTTGGTAGGGTTTGTTTTGTCTTTAGCATTTATTTTTTTGACTGTGCTGGGTCTTCATTAATTGCTGTGTGTAGGCCTGCAGTTGGAGTGAGCAGGGGCTACTCTAGTTGCGTTGCACAGGCATCTCACTTCAGTGTCTTTTATTGCGGCGCACTGGGCTCTAAGCACGTAGGCTTCAGCATTTGCCGCATGCAGGCTTAGTTGCTTTGAGACATGTGGGATCTTCCCAGACCAGGGATGGAACTTGTGTCCCCTGCACTGGCAGGAGGATTCTGTACCACTGAGCCACCAGGAAAATCCAGGTAGGGTTTTGTTTAAACAAGTTCCCCTACTTAAATAAGTCACTGGCCTAGTTGATGTTAGGACTTGTGGCTATGAAATTTTAAGATTTATTTTCAGATGATAGTAGCTAGAAAGCATTTCATCACAGTTTGGTGTTTGGTCTAGATCTTACCTTTGAATGATAGTAGTGAGATACCACTCAGGACCTTAAAAATACTATCTGTATCAGGTAAACCATGGGTAACTATTTAGGAGGAAGTAAATTAATGGGGTACACTTACAGGAAATATGATTGAAGAAGATGGGCAAGGGCATAGGATAATTTTGGTTGTCTTGGTTGTTTTTTAACCCACCGCCTCCCCCCCCCCCCCTTTTTTTTTTACCCTCTCTGAATGTCAGAAGTCCTGGGAGATATTTGTAAAGTATTAGTTAATTCTTACTGTTCAGTGTTAAAAGCAACTTAAAATTTAATCTTAACTTTTTGGCACTGAGCATATATCCTGTAAATAAATTCTAATATTGTTATCAGAGAACAAAGATGACGTCTACACTGGGTATTTCTTTATTAGAGAATGTTAGAGATCACCAGATACATGAGAAATGTGATTTTAATTGTTAGAGTAACTAAAACCATAGAGTAACTGTGATATACTAAATCTGTGATATACTAAGGGTACTTATATTGGCTTATGCTGGATTTCTAGTAATGGAATAGTGGAATGATGCTTAGATAGCATTTGGAGCTGGATGAAACTTGAGAGATAATAGCCACACTCCATGATACAGATTAGACTATTGAGTCTTCTAAAGTACTTCTTACTAGATGTCTCCTAACTTCCAGTTTTCTTGTGAGCCGTTTTCACCTTTATGTCAAGATCAAATTATGTCTGCTTACATACCCCACACCTTTTCATTTGATGCTGCAGACCCATATTATGCCTCCTTCCTTTATGGTATTTGGTCTCATACAGAAAAACTGATAAATATAAGTAACCTATTGTTTGCACTGCTACTTAATTGTGAAAGTGTTATGTAGCACACCAGGCTCCTCTGTCCATGGGGTTCACTAGGCAAGAATACTGGAGTGGGTTGCCATTCTTTTCTCCAGGGGAGAATGACCCAGGGATAGAACCCTGGTCTCCTGCATTGCAGGCAAATTCTTTACTGTCTGAGCCACCAGGAAGTCCATTAGATCCTTATAATTCTTAAAATCCTTTCTCTCCCTTTTGAGTCCATGGCTTGCTAGATGAGAACTTTTGTGGGTGTTATTGATTTGTATCTTAAAGTGGAGTGATACTTGTAAACATTTGTATAGTCCATGGATTTTACCACCTTGGCTTTAGTCATTTTTTAGAGCTACATCATTTTGTTTCTGAGTGTACTTAATCTGTGGGGCTTCCCTGCTGAATCTGCCTGCGAATGCCAGAGATATGGGTTTGATCCCTGGGTCAGGAAGATCTCCTGGTGAA